GAATTCCCTAGCCAGCTTTGCTGGGTAAGGAATTCTGGGAGTTGAAGTCCACACATCTTAAAGTTGCCAAGGTTGAGAAACACTGATCTATATGGTACCTTAATTACTGAAAAACCCAAGAATTTGCATTATCTTTTGGGAAGATTTTGTTTCCAGAAAATGTCAATGTCAATGTAGTGGAGCTTATCTTTTATCAGAAAACAGTCTTTGAAATGGAAACTTCTAAATTGGCAAAGGTAAATTTGAGAAGGAAAACTCATTTACATTATAAAAATGAGAAGAGACCAAATTCCTCACAATATTGTCCAATCTTTAAAAAATAATCTTAAGTTTCAGGGGTACTAAAAACAGTAATCAGTAATATCCAGAGGAAGATTAAAATTTACAACTGTATCTGCCAATTTTATCCATTTGTTCATTTAGGAAAACAATTTCTTGTTTTCAAGGCTGTTTTAAACACTAACTTGACAGGTGTTTCTATACAATATTCTGGGCAAGGCATGTCCATTTTCAAAACAGGGTCCTGGAAGTTTGCTTCCAGTTCGTATGAGAATTAGAGAATTTTACCATTCTAAGCAAAACTGTATGACTTAGGCCATGTTAAATATTACATTACTTTTAAATAAATTGTTTATCAGGTTATAAATAACTCAGCCTCATAATGAAAATTTATCTTCCTAAACTTTTCTTATTTCAGCTGATGTTCTGATGCCACCTGGTGGCTATGTTTCTAAAGAAAGCTTTTTCTGTATTTCTCATAATCAGGCAAGCATCCAAAACTAGAATCTTTTATCTTTTGCATAATACCCACAAAATTCCTTTCTCATGATGATACCAGAAGTGCAAATTAATTCTAAGCCCAAACGTTTGCCTATCATGTGCACTGTAGAATTCTGGGCGAGTTCCTGGCTCTTCAGAATGACTGTGGCCACCATGGGGGTGCAGCTGCTTTTGAATTGCCTTCCTGCAGCTGGAAGGCTTGCTGTTAACATCTCGCTCAACCCTATTCTCCACTCAGCTATTTGTTAGGCCGAAGACCGAGTGATACTCCAGGTTGCCTTTCTCCTTGCAGAAATTGCCATACCTACACTCACTAAATAGTTGCTTGGTAGCTTGGATATAACATCGTTTTCAGTGAGGAAAATGGCAGCGTTGTCTCTGTCCTACAGTGTACGTTCTATACTGCAGAAAATTTAGCATAATTATGGAACCTCTATGGCAATATCTTAACCTCTTTAACTGTATTAATTGTAGCAGTAGAAAAAATAATAATAATTTCCCCTCGTTCTTTTCATGTTCTTCTTTTACTTTATGATCAGATTCCTAGACCCACAAACTATTTTACAAATACTTCTCAAAGCCACGGGCTGCTGTTTTAACTTTAGGAGCCAGAACTTCCTCTTAAAGCCAATGTTAGGGATGATTCTCACAATCATAAAACAATAATGAGCAGCACGTTCCTTCAGGACTGACTAACTGCAGGCAATGCAGTGTGTGACTCAGCTGAGACTTTGTATGACTTGAGGCAGGTAACTGATCCCCCCCCCCTTTTTTTAAAAACAGTGATAAAAACAAACTGGTAGAATCACACGTAGTATTCTAATTGTGGAGCACCATGACTTGAGTACTCTTCCAGTCAGAAACAGACAGGAGCAGAAGTAGGAAAGAGAAGCTCTCACTGCTCTGCCTTGATCTTTTGGGTAATAAAAATTAATCCCACCCATAGTAAAGAAAGCTAAAAGATAAAGTCTCCTTCAAATTGAGCTCAGTTTCTGATGACTTTATGAATACATCCATGTAGATTTGTTGACAAGAGAATGAAAGTGGGTTTCTACTGCCTTCTTCTGGATTTTTTTTTTTTTTTTAATTTCCCAGTCTAGTTTACAGCCCTGGTTGCCTGCTATCAGTGCTAAACAGGTCCAAACCCTTCTTAGTGTTTGAAGATCAGCTAAGCTCAGCTAGATGTTGCCACACAACTGGGCATTGTAAGTAAAGAGAATGCATTTGAAAGTAAACAGTGGAATAAATCTGAACCAGGTCTAGATTTACTCAGCTATGGTAGCATGGCAAGATGGTTGGAGGGTTCCAATGACATTGGATCCTCAGCCTGGCCAGCCTTGCCTGCTGAATCCTTTTGGCAATTCAGAGTACACTGGTGGATGTTGGCTAGGAGGCAAAAAGGAGATGGAGTTGACAGATTGTCCTCTCTGTGGGGTCCTTTTGATTTTGGAAGGGGGAATCTGATAAATTCTGTATTCTGGTATAGTCTATAGCTCCAGATATGTTGTTCGAGGTTTCACATGATTGTGTCCATGAAAAAATAGCTAAGTAGGCAGGTAAATAAATAGGTAGGCAGATAGACAGACAGTATATTATTGTTCAGGATTTCAGTGGAAACATTATTTTCTGTGCAATAAAAATATAACTAAATTGAGAAGCCTGAAAAGATAAATGCATATTTATTTCTGTTCATTGTTCTTATAATAATGTTCATTCTATTCATTCTCATATAAGAATGAGAATATAAATATTTCAGGGAGGAGCCAAGACAGGGGTGAGACAGCACCTTTTACACAGAGCTCCTCTGAGTTTTTTATTTATACTTATTTTTATTACCATTTTTTGTTTTGTTTCTGGCCATTAACAACTAATTTCTCCCCCTGGAGATAATAACTGGCCAGAGAGAGTAACTGACTGAAGTGATAAGAGAAGGAATGGTAAAAAAACAGCCTGGAAAAAGGAAAAGATGATAAAATGCAAAGGCAAACATAAAGCCAATCCAAGAAAGGCTGAAGGAAGAGCTCTGAGACATGCAAGGGCACCCAAGATCCCCAACAACCCACAACAGAAGATCTGTGGCAACACAATGATTCATTAAGTGAGCCATTTCTTCATATTAATAACAAATATGTGATACCTGACAGGGAGAGTGAGGAACTGACTTGAGTGCAGTAAGGGAACTGGGGAGGCAGGGTGTTAGCCCTTCAAGGTAGTCCAGACAAGAAGTACAACCAGGAGTAGTAGATCTATGTAATTGTAAGGTTACATTAACAGAATCTTGCCAGACTGAAAGTATTTCTCCCCTTCTTTCCCTTTTACTCTCCAGAAAATTAGGGTGGATCTCTTCTGAAACACGTCCCATGCCCTCCCTCCTTCTGTGGGCTGAGATAACTTTTATGCACCAGTTGTCCTGTCTGCGGGTCTCCCTCCTGTCTCCCAAGGTCATTCCCCCATATCATTACTCAGGGAGACTTGAAACTCCTTGCTCTGAGCCTGACTGCACATGACGGGATAGCCATCTAAGATCAGGTATTGGCAACTAATAATTACACAAGCCTTCCATCATAATTTCCCAGCTTCTACAGGGAAACGCATTCCAAATCCTTACCTTGGCCCTTCTGACCAGTAAAAAAGATCAGATTGTCTTGTAGTGATGAGCTGTGGTTTGCCAATTGAAATTTCAGGCGGAATTCATAGTGCAGGCTGATGTTTGGAATTGCTGAATATGCTAGGAATGAGGTATAACCAAAAGCATTGGTCCCACTGAAGCTAGGATAGGTAATATTAATAGCTGTTAAAAATAAAAATAAATAAATAAATAAGTAAGTAAAACAAAATTTGTTTGCAGAAAACCAGCAGTAATGACTTACATCAAACGTGCATTTCCTCCCTTGTTAAACCACAGCAGCTGGGAATGAGAATTGGGATCCCCTGAGGCCTCCTTATTCTTTTTGTACTACAGTTTCCATGCTTCTGATTAGTAAATATTAAACAGCACTTCCCATTTCCAATATAACAGGGTATGTCAACCATATCTTGCCTACAAAATCCTAGATGACCAGATGATGATAACAATGAAATACATCTTTGCTGTCATCTAATGATTTTCCAGATTTTTCCACTGCAAATATCCCTGCTTACAACAGGGAATTGTAATTTATGGAAGTTTCCAACTGCAGCTTTTCTGGAGCAATTATCCTACCCTATTCATTGATTCACAACATCTTACGGGGCTCAAACCTCAACATGTTTGTCTTAGATTCCACTGATGTTTTCCTACCTTTTTATTTTCCTCACCTTTTCACAGAAAATCTGTTAAGGAGGACAAGTCAAACTGGCTGCTCAGTGATTTTTTACTGGTAGCACAGTGAACTGTCTGGCTGGGAATACTGTAAGATAGCTTGTATTGAGGATGAGAGAAAGCAAGAACATTACAAGAGTTACAGGGGACCAGAGCAATGTCCAAGAACATAGGGAAAGATGGAAAAGTTCATTTCTTATAGTTCTCCCTCAGTCTTTTTGGACACTGCTGCATATTTACTTCTTTATTTATTTACAGAATTTATACGGCTGCCTATCTCATATAATGACTCTAGGTGGCTCACAACAATCCATAAAAACATGGTTAAAAAGAAAAGTACCCTTCCCCACAAGCGCTAGACTATATGTCCTCGCAGCTCAACCCCCATCCTAGCCCAATGCTTGGGGGAAGAGCCAGGTCTTCACAGCCCTCTGGAAGGCTAAAAGGGCAGGGATCCCTCTAATCTCTGGTGGGAGGCTGTTCCAAAGGGCTGGGGCAGCCACTGAGAAGGTGTGCCTCTGAGTCCCATCAGGTGGCAACATTTAAGGGAGGGGACCTGGAGTGCACCCTCCTATCAAACCTAATAGGATAGGTTGAAACAGCAGCTGAAAACATTCAGGATCAAGTGGTCTGATATTTCCCAATGTGTCTGGCAATGTGCAGGAACAGGAACAAAGTTTCTCTCTTCAAATTATAAAAATGGCCATATCTTTTACAAAGTTTGTGCAGCTGCTTTGAAAGCTGCTCCTGGCAGCCACCTCATCTATGTGCATGCATGCTCACTTTGTGTCTCCTTCTTCCCAGAGAAGCAATGTGGTTGTGCATACACATACATGTAGAGACAACCAGGAGCAGCTTCCAAAGTATCTGCATAAACCTTGTAAAAGACATGGCTACTTTAATTATTTGAAGAGATGTGCTTTGTATTCCCATAAATTATGAAACACCTATTTGAAGGTTTACACAGCCTAGTGTGTGTGTGTAATACTAAACTAATTAACAAAAAAAATGTATACACCCACTCACATATATTTGAAAATGAAATATTCCAGGGAACTCCAGAACGTTCTGTTCCTCCACTGGACCATGTGGAAACTCTTATGGACAATGCCATTCCAGGGGTAGTTTGGTTGTTTCCCAAAGTAAATAATCCAAGCTGGAAACAAACTGAAGTATCCCAGACACGTTCCAGATGAAACATTTGGATCATATTCAATTCAGAGGATTTACTTCTGGAAATTGTCTAACTGCCACCATAATGGCATGGTCCAGAGGAGATTTGGCACATCCTGGAGAGTGAACAAAACATTCTGGAGTTTTGTACACACCATTATTAGCAATATTGATGACTACAGTTGCAAACAGGAGTATAATAGGATACATCCAGATCATATGGCTTAATGTTCTACCATTGAAATTGCTGTAAAGTGATAATTTCATCATTTGCAGTTTCCTAAAAAAAAAATAAAAAAAAATAGGGCACTGACTTAGGATTCACAATTGTTCTTACCATCATTACAAAGTATTCCGGTTCTTCCATATGGACAGAGGCATACAATGTCCTGGCTGGATTTAGGAAAACAGGTTGCTCCATTCCCACATGGATTCTCCTCACAATTTGAAAACTGACATAATTTTCCAGAGTAGATAGGAGGGCATTCACAGAACCAGTTCTCTGTATCACTATTAGATTGAAAGAAATATATGTATATATACAACAATATACAGAAATATATAATAGTATTAGTAATTAGTAATATAATAAACACACACAGGTATTTCCTAGGAAAGAAAGGAACAGCAGTCATCTTTCCCCCTCAAATCCACTAATGCACAAAGTGATTTTCAGTCAGACAATTTCTTTGCATATGATTCTTTTTAAGTTTGGGTGCTTTGCTCTAAGAATGTTGCTGTTCTATATTTTATGAGTAAGTGTAACATTTCAAAGCTCTTTTTAAGCATTTGCTAGCGTCTCTTGGCATTTGTTACTCTGTGTGCATAATGTTCAGAGGTCCTCAGATTATTTGTGGTGTTGCTTCAGTGCAATGCCAAACATTACTGTTCTGCTTTCGAGCTTTCAAAAGCATGAATGAGGCAAATGGGATATTTCTATCTTAAAATAAAACAGTTATTAATGATTCTAAAATAACGTTTGATAACTGGATTACTTCTTACCCATCCCCTGCTTTTAGCAGTAGTTTGCTAATGAAGAGTTTAGGAGAAACCAGTTTGCACACTGTTCTGTACCATTTTGGTTGGAGGTAAGAAAAAGATTGCCTTATTATGAACATGTGGTTCATGCACCAACATGGTTTTCATATAGTAAGTCTCTTGGAAACAAAATTATTAAGATGAATAACTTTCTGTCTTCCAAAGCAAGGGGTTCCATGAATACTGAGCTGACTGGATTCACAAATCGTAGTCTGATCTTGCTTTAACTGAAAGATGCACAAATGTTTGATGGTGCAATCTCCTGCTCTTTGTTTTAGGAAAAGGAAGGGTGAATATATTAGATTCAAGCACCTGTATTGTCCTTTAATCTACTCAACTTCTAAAACATCAATTCCCATCAATTTTTCACCATTATGATAGTAATAGTGAGCATAACAAAGAGAAACTATGGAAATGGTTTTTGCAATCCCATGGACCTTATCCCACAGGCCACAGATTTGGTTCCTCCCTCATGGACTGGATTTCCACTCTCATTTGCTTGCCAGTCTCCAAGGCTGTTGTTAAGGTTCAGAAACTCCCAACTTTGGAACGCCCCCAAAGAGGACATGGGGTGGGATGGGTGAGGCTGAGCAGAAGGATCCTTAGCTCCCCTCATCCTCCTGCCATGCTCCCCAAGGGAAAATGTAGACCAGCCGTTTGTTGGTCTAAATAATTTCCCATTTCTTGATTGCTGTGATCATCTCTTTGTCCTCATTTTTATCTTGCCATACTACAGCCAGCAGGGAATTTGGGTCTGACTGAATGCTTCAAAGTCAAAGCACTCTGGTGTAAGATAGGATGGGATGCTCTGTTAAACAGCAGCAGCAGTGGCAACAACACAATTAACTGCTTAAGCAATGAAAGGAAATGCACAACCAGATTGTAAGTAACATCTAGAGTTCTTACCAAGGAAGCTATGTTTATTAAAGAGAAAGAAATAAGTAATCCTCTTGACACTCATGACACCTAACAGTTCGTTAGTGGAGCCCACCCACTGTCCAAAGCAAAGAGAATCTCAGCTGGGAAGCCTTCTAGAACGATTCCTCTTGAATAATGCTCCAGACAGTTGTTGAAAAGGAGAGCACTATCAACTGCAATAATACATCTCTGTGAATAGCCTGTTATACATTCAGCATTGCTGCTAAAGAAGAAATGCTGATGGATGTGTGGCACCAAAGACCCTATATTTTCAATTAGTTTGATATCTAGGTGGTTTCATTCTTCTCATCACAGAGGTAATGGGCACCCTTGCAGAGTCATACAGTTCATTGAAAAGTGCCACTGTGCAGGGCTGCCCAAAGGGTGGGGAGGGGAGGGGAGATAGGCAGGTGGGGGGAGCTGAAGAGGAGGCAAAGGGGGTAGCACCTTACCTTACTCAGGATCTGGGCTGGGAGGGACCAAGCTGGGAATGGCTCAGATCAGGGTGGTTCCTCGCCTAATGACTGGTGAGATTTGCTAATTGATGCAGTCATGTGATGTCACACTTTACAACTGCATCACTTAGTGATGGAAATTCTGGTCCCAATTACTATTGTAACTTGAGGACTACTTGTAATGCTACATTATTTGGCAGTGCCCTCCCATATGGCAAGTTCTTTTATGTTTTTTCAGAAATAAGTCCCATTTAACAAGGATTCAATTTGACATTAGTTAATATTTTCCTGCTTTTTCCTTCTGATTGTTTTCTGTTGATCATGGCTGGCAAATTAGTGATACACTATTCCTTAACTATTCTTTAAATTGGCTCCCTTAATTTTTTTTCTGACAATTTCTATTCCCAGAAAGAATTGTCCATCCATTTCCTTGTCACTACTAGACAAACAAATGGTAGAATTTATTTAGGTGTTTATTTAATACTACAAATACAGAAGATACTGGGAAAACACAGGAAGATACTGGGCTCCAATTTATGTCAATGATGCTATCTAGATTCCAAAGATGCTTTCAGATGAGGCATTTATTGTACTATATCCTGCCTTTCTCTCAGAATTTCTTCTCCCAAAGAAGAAAAGGGGAGGGGGGGAGACTCAAACAATATAATCTTCAATTTCTGAGTTTTCTTCCTGCTCATCTCTTCCATTAAAGAGAAAAAAGAGGCCCAGTTGCACAGTGACCTTTCCTTGGTAGCTCTGGGCCTGGAAGCCTCCGGATTGAACAAAAAGGTGGCAGTTTCAGAGAAAAGAACAAGTATGAAAGCAATCATCACATCTTGGAAAGATTAAATCTTGGTAACCTTTACAACAACTCTGAGAAACAGACCAATAGTGTTGTCTGCATTTGGCAAAAAGGGTAGATGACTGAATGGCTGATGATATTAGATGAGGAGCTTACAAAGCTATTTTAATTAACTAATTAAACAATATTTGCAGTTTACCCTAATCTTACTATGCAACAATTTTTTTAAAAAAGCATTAAAACATATATAAATAATAGAAATCAACAATAAAAAACTTTGTACGTATAAGGTGCCATTCACCTAACCTAAGAACCAAATTCCTGCTGGAATAATGCTGCTTTGGCCTGTTTTTACACAATCGTACAGCAGGGGATGGGAGGCTGTTCCATAAAATGGGGGCCATTGCTGAGAAGGCCTCTGAATTTTTAAATTCTTAAAAGAAAAAGAAGAACTTTTAACAGATGTATTTAACATACACAATTTGGTATTTACTAACTTACTTAGAATATTAAATGGATTTGGGTTGGGTTGGCAGTAAATGACAACTAAACAAATCAAGCATAACTAAAGAAAAACAAGGGGGCTCTAGAAAACACAATTAAGTCAAGTATTGATACTAAACTACAGAATACTTATTCATCCAAACAATTCTCCTCAAATGTATAAAAACAAAAAGGGCATTTGAAACAGTTCTGTCCATCATGGGAAAGTCGGCGGGGGGGGGGGGGGAGGGGGGGTTG